AAAAAAAAGTTTTAAAAAATTATATATATTTATTTTTTTTTTTTTTTTTTTTTTTTTTTTTCTTTTTCTGATAATGAGAATCAAACATAGAATATAATGGCTGGGCTTTGTTTATATTTGGAAAACTTTGTCATTGTGATCCTCGAAATGATAAAAAAAAATGCTTTATTGAAGGTCAATTATGATTGAAGTCCCACGTGATGACTAACTGCATAATTAAAATATCTTACCTTGTCACTGATCTCGTAAAGGTCACAAGATTACTATTTTCACTGATGGATAAATCAGCATGCCAATGTCAAATTGAAGCAATATAACTTTTTTGACAGAAAAATGAGCATAATCATAGCCATAAAGTCAATTATGAAACTCATCCTAGTTTAAAATTCATTTAATATTTGAAAATATTATGGCCCTGTCTGCGGCCCTTTAATTTCAAAAATTGGAGTTTGGAACAGTGATTGATGTTGAAATGTGTGGTTAAAAAAGAAGGAAAAGTTTTTAATTTACGTGTAATATTATTTTAATGAAGAATGTGTGTTTGAAAATGAGTACTGTAGGAAAAATAATGGGATAGAATATGGAAAAATGATTGACAAACAAGGGTTATAAATTGTTGTTAAATTAGAAGAAGAAGAGAAATATAAGAGTCAAAAGTGAATTGTTATTTTAGCATAGTGATGAACTATATACATAAGGTTCCATTTTGAATTTTAGAGTTACAAAGTTCAAGATATAGACTCCTAAAGTAGGTAAGATTTATCTTCTAAATATCTTGAAAAATACTAAATAAAGATTAATAATTATCCATAATTTAACTACACTTACTCTTTGGCGAATATTTGTACAAAAAATCAGTAGAAAAAATATTAAACGAAGAAGAAAAGAATACAACTAATTATTAAAATTTTTGGGTATTAAAATACATTTTCTTATTAAAGTGTAGGAAAATTCGGTGGGATAAAATTTGGATGAAAGCAAAAGAGTGCAGCTATTCTTGCTAATATTATACTGAAGATCTTTAAGTAGATGCAGTCCAATATCATATATCAAATTTTTTTTTTTTTTAAATGTAGATGTTGACAATGTCATTGTTGAATAAATCAGTCACATTATCATTTATTGAACGTTAATGTCATCATTCTTCTGAATCTCAAGCATATAGAAGCATTTTAAAGAAATATATTTTGTCATATCCTAGTTGATGTAGCCTTGTTTCAATTGTGCAATATAAGCTACATTATTTTATATAATACTGTTGGACAATCCTTTATTAAAACTAATGTGCATGATGTTTTGATATGATGGGTCAAATTCCTAAACCATACACATTATCGGCATATTAAATGAATTGTAATAATTTCAGAATGATTCGAAAGTGTTGTTTTCAAAGTTTGATTCATGTATCTTCAAGCTATAATTGTTCTCTGCATTTAAACACATATATTGCTTGAGATTTAACTTTACTTGGGTGGGAGATATAATTTGCATCTTTAAATTCCACTAAAGGAGATCTCAATTTTTTTTTGAATATCTCATCTTGATAGTACCTATCAAGTAATGAATATGTTTAACTTGACTCCAATGTCTTTTAGGTTGGTGCGGAATTATATCTTTCAAGAGATTTATAGAAAAAGTCAAGTATGATCGAGGTGCAATTAGCAAGATATATTAATACCCCCAATTGCACGTAGGTATGCTGTTTCAACCTTTTCCCCTCTTCAAATAAGCAAAATAAATCTTTTTTCACACCAATTGATTGAGCAACCATAAATGATATTAATAAATGGCCTTTTCATTATAAAAAATGTTTTGATACTTTTGTATATTAAGGATGATAAACAAATAATCTTTCTTAATAATGTTCAATTTGCAAATTGTAACCTAAAACATAATTTGATTTATCGCATTTTTCAAATAATTTACATTTTTATTAAACTCTTTAAAAGGTTTTAATTATATTTAAATCATCAACATAAACTATCATAATTCCAAAATCTATATTTGATTTTTTATTTATTTATGAAAACACGAGTAAACACTTCATTTTCATAGACCTATTTCAATGAGTCGATTATACTTTATACGTTCGAGTTATTTTAATCAATACAATGATGTTTCCAGTTACATTAAGAACATAGTTTTGATCAATGTATCATATTACTTTGGCAATTGGAAAGCTTGTTTGATGTCATATTTTAAATGAAAGATGAATTCTTTTAAGAACTACAGTTGAAAAGTGGAAAAATTGTGGGTTCATAGAATGCGTGTCAAATATTTAGTAATGCATCTTGAAAAAAATATTTGTCCTTCTATATTGGACTTTTGGTTCAAATTGTGTTGCTCAGATAACTACAATCCAGTTTATATTTTGCCTTAAGATAAGATTTACAGTTTGCAAGAGGTTCCATCTCTAACCCATGCTAAGGCTCATCTCTTGTCAACCTTTTAATTCTACCTAAACTTACATGTCCAAGGCTTACAGTGCCACACCAACAGTTGGTTGGAGAAAAGCATTTTTCTTTTTGCATTAGGACCGTAAATTGCAATAGTAGTTAAGTTTAATGAAAACATACAAATATCTAGTATTATCAGGAGCTTTTTATTCAAAATCATTAAAAGAGTAAACATGTCCAAAACACAAAGCAGAATCCAAAATGAGGATAACATAATAATTTCAAGAACCAAACTCATACTGCTACTAAAAGAAAATTAAACAATCACTATTAGTGTTGCCAAAAGATTATGCTCCCATTCCGATTTCAACAAGAAAAGTTTTATTCTCTGATCTTTTTGGTTCTCTAAAGAACCTACATAAAGATGCATGCATGATTAGCTGCTATGGTTAGAGGCGGCCCTGAGGGTGTGCAAATTGAGAGATCGCACAGGGCCTCGAAATTGTAGGGGGCACCGAATTTTTTTTTTTTTTTTTTATAGTTGTATATTTATTTATAATTCAATATTTAAAATATACATTAATTTTAAAATATAAATTTTTTATTATTATGCATAAGATATTAAAAGAAAGAATAATGTGACTAACTAATTATAAATTTCTTGAATATAATATTCTTAAATAGTATTCCTACTTTAAATAATGTGAGGGAAAAAGGAAAAGTCAAATAGAGATCAAGCCAACTAAAGAATTGAGAAAAGAAAGAAAAATTAAGTTACAGTCTTTTCCAATTGCCTCAAAGATAATTGAGGTAGAGAAGAGAGAAACCGATTATTTCTTTTATGGGGGTGTTTTTACACCCATTTTTATGGAAAAATAAATTTTAGAATAGTAAATTAATGGAGAATATGTGAATGAAAAATAAGGAAAAGTCTTTGATTTACATGTAATATTATTTTAATGAAAAATTTATGGTTAAAAAGAAGAAAGAAAAATATATTTTAATAAAAATAAGAATCAAATGAGACCTATTTAGTAGATGAAAACGCTACTGTAGATGATGCACAATCACTTGAAGATTATTTCAGAACCAATTATTTCTTTTATATAGTAGATCAAACAATTGGATAACTTGAACGAATGTTTGATCAATTCAATTCATATGAAAAAATTTTGGATTTCTATTTTCTTCTAACAAGTTAAACTCATTAGATGATACTAATTTGAAAGCATGTTGCGATCGTCTTGATATTGTTTTAAGACAAGTATCTTTTACCAAAAGAAATAAAGACGGCTTTTGATATATTGATTTATTTGAAAAGATTGGATTGCTTTCCGAATACATGTATTGCTTATAGAATATTATTGATAATTCTTGTTACAGTTGCATTTGTTAAAAGAAGTTTTTCAAAATTAAAGTTATTAAAATCTTATTTGCGATCAACCATGTTACAAGAACGATTGAATGGATTAACTTTGATATACATTGAGCAAGACTTTCCAGAAAATATTGATTACGAAAGTTTAATTAGTGAGTTTGCTTCTAGAAATGTGAGAAGAAATAATTTTACATGATATATATATATATATATATATATA